GTGTCACAAGCAGATACTAATCTAAACTTGGTGAACGTCATTAGATAATTGTGAAAAGCATCTTAAAATACTTACGAAGAACTAAGGATGCATTTCTGATTTATGAAGGCGACGAACTCTAAGTTAAGGGTTATGCAGATGTGAGCTTTCAAACTGACAAGGATGATAGCAAATCGCAAAGTGAATATATATTCACTTTCAATAGAGGCGCAGTTAGTTGGAAAAGTTCTAAACAGAAAATGTTCACAAATTCTACAACCGAGGTCGAATACAACCAAGGTCAGAGGCAACAAAAGAGGTCGTTCAGATCAAGAAGTTCATAATTGAGTTAGATGTGGTTTTTAACATTATTGATCCAATACCTTTGTATTGTAATAAAAATGAAGCCATTGCATAAGCAAAGAAACCAAAGTCTCATCAGAGATCCAAACATGTATTGCGACGTTACCATGTGATCAAAGAGATCATTAAAAGGGAGACATTTGCATAGAGCATATGCCTATTGAGGATAATGTTACTGGCCCTCTCACTAAAGCACTATCCCAACAGAGATGCAATCATCATATTGAGAATATTGGTATTAGATACATATGCAATTCGCTTTATTACTAGTGGGAGATTGTTCGTATGAAGCCTACAAGCCAATTAGTGATTGTATGGGAATTGCACTTTAATCTATTTATGTATGACATTTGTTATTTATAATAACATTTAGGTCGTTCTTTATCTATGAGTTTGTAATTTAATTACTATTTATACTTAAATAGATAAAGCCCATGAAACTATATATGCTTTGCAAAGAAATTGTATTGAGATACAATTATAAGATCCTTATGCCTCAAAGCATTGTTCTTAAAAATTTCTGATCATTGTATTATTGAGACAAAACATCAATAATGCTCAAAGATTGACACATACTACGTTTTTTACTTGTGATGTAAGTAATCTATCTCATAGGTTGAAGTATAGAGATGCTTGAAACTAAAATGTGGGTGCCAGCCTTGGGAGAGTAGTTTTACTAAACATGACCTGACATGTGAAATTTATTTGGTATCTCATTCTAGTGTCTATGCAAATATTTCTTATGTGTTAGTTGTGTAAATACTCCTTAGACTTGAGACACAAGGTTGTCTTATATATGGAATGCTATATATTTGATCATATCATTATAGGTTCTACCAAAGATGCCAAAACAAGATATGTTAGTTGTAATATGAAGCATGTCAAGGCAAATGAGTAGTCAAAAAAAGAATCATCACCCTAAGTGATTTAGGCAACATATCCTACCAGTTCTTAGTTGATATTAGTTTGTTCAAGTGATAACTCTATTATATAGAGTTATTTTGACTCATTTTGGGAGCTTAAGTAGCTAGATCTTTGAGATTTTAGGTTCGAATTTTAGCATTTTAGGTGTTTTTTTTAGTTTAAGTTTGATTACTTGTTAAGTGATTAATTTAAGTTATTTTAGTTAAATTTTAAGTTATTTTATTTTAAATTACTTTAAGAGTAGTTATTGCTAATTTCTCTTATGGCTTTTGTAGGAAATTGATGAAAAAGACTCATTTGATGAAAATCAGTGCAAGTATGGTGATAGCTTCATTCGTATATGTTTCAGTATTTTGATCATATATCTTTCTAAAAAATTCCAAATAAAGCGATTCTTAGACCAATCGAATTATAAAAAGAAGGGATACAATGTTTATGTTCACCAATTTGCCCAGTTCTGATTAGATCATGGTCAAAATATTTGTCAAAGTCGGACCACTGCAGCAGTATGTAAAGACTGAACATAATGCGGTGTTGGTAGCAAATCTTTCAATCCAGAAGTCCAATTGATGTGATTCTTAATCCATTGGAAAGTTAAGAGACATGGATAAAACTTTTATGTTTACTACTTTGCCCAGTTCCTCACATATCAAGGTGAAACTCACGTTTGAAGTTAATAGACTGCCACAGCACTAGGAGAACAAGGCTGCAGCGTTGATGAAAGGAAGCACACATACAAAATTCCAGAGAGCTCCCCGCTGCAGCGCTGGAGAAGTAGCGCTACAGCGCTGGAGAAGTAGCGCCGTAGCTCTGCGCGACTTTCCTAAAAATAAGGAAAGTTAACGGGATTTCGAAAATTAGGTTATTTGGAGCTTATTTAAGGAGCCTTTTTCAGAGATTTTGGAGAGGAGGCAGCAAGCAACTATTTGGAGATTGGAGCCAAGAACAAAGCAAGGAAACAAGAGAATTGAGAGAGAGAATCAAGATCACAAATCTCTAACTATTAGTTTTCTCTCTTACCTTTGTGTTTTTCTTATTTTCTTTGACTTGGATTCATTGCTAAATTTCTTTGGATGTTGTTTTATTAGATACTATGAACTAAATTATTTTCTAGGATTGCAATTGAACTCACATGTAATCTAATTTTTAATCTCTTTCTTGCTTATTTTCAATGGGATTTGAATTGTTTATTCCAATTTGTTCTTATTTATTCCAATTTGTTCTTAATGCTTTTAATTGTTTGGCCACCAATTAAATTGATTTAGGAACCTAAACAAACTTGGGAAAGGGAGTCTAGTGTAGACTAAAATTGTGATAGCATATGATCATATTAATTGATTTGCGTATAGGATAAGGATATACCTATAGGCCATATGTTGCCAGATTAGAACCTGAACTGAATGAGTCTATTTTAATTTCAATTCACATAGAGATATAGTGTTTTAGTTAAAATAGATATTTTTATAAGATGAGTCAGGAAGACCCTTATAAATAATTTAGGACTCTAGGTTAGCAATTCAACCCATTGAAATAAGTTAAGAAAGAGAGGTAAGATTTAGATGAAGTGTGAGGGATATTGTAATCCTAGGCTTGTTTGATTTGTTGTTTGCCCAATTATCTTATTGCTTTAATTTGTAATCAAATTAGTTTTAGTTGCGTAATTTTTAGTTCAATTAGAATTAAGATTTTAATTGTTTGAATAAAACTAAATTGTTTTAATTTTAGTACTTAGTAAAATTTTAGATCAATTCCCTGTGGGATCGATACTCTGTTTGCTAATATAATATCTATTCGATACGTATACTTGCATAGTAGAATTTTACTTGACAAGTTTTTGGCGTCGCTGCCGAGGAATTGTTTCTAGAATTTATACTAATACTAATACCAAGCAATTTAGTCTTACTTCAAATTTTATTTTTCTTGTTTTAATATTAGATTTTGTTTGTTCGCAGATCTCTTTGGTCATTGCATGCAAAAAAGAAACAACTTGAATCTTGTTCCTTTTGATCCTGACATAGAAAGAACTTTTAGAAGACGTCGAAGGGAGAATTTACAAGTTGCAACTTTAAATCAAACAATGGCTGAGGATGGCAATAATAATGGCGATAATGCCATTAATTTGGTTCCCGAAGCAAATAGAGCACTACGGGATTATGCTGTTCCTCTTGTGCAAGGTTTGCACCAAAGCATTAGGAGACCTTCCATCAATGCGAATAATTTCAAAATTAAGCCAGCTTACATTCAGATGATTCAGTCTTCAGTCCAGTTTAGTGGATTACCTAGTGATGATCCTAATTCTCATTTGGTAAATTTCTTAGAGATTTGTGACACCTTCAAGTACAATGGAGTAACTGATGATGCTATTAGATTGAGACTGTTTCCTTTTCTCTGAGAGATAAAGCAAAAAGTTGGCTTAATTCATTGCCTAATGGGTCTATCAACATGGAGGACTTGGCATAAAAGTTTCTAGCAAAATTTTTTCCACCTGCCAAGACTACAAAGATGAGGAACGATATCACCTCATTCATACAATTTGATGGTGAGTCCTTGTATGAAGCCTGGGAGAGGTTTAAAGAACTACTGAGAAGATGTCCACATCATGGGATTCCTGATTGGTTGCAAGTTCAGACATTCTACAATGGGTTGGTTGGGTCAATAAAAACCATAATTGATGCTGCTGCTGGTGGGGCATTAATGAGTAAGAATGCTGTAGATGCCTACAATTTGTTGGAAGAGATGGCCTCCAATAATTATCAATGGCCTTCAGAAAGGTCGGGTTCGAGAAAAGCTGTTGGAGCTTATGAAATTGATGCACTTGGCACCTTAACTACTCAAGTAGCTGCGTTGTCCAAAAAGCTTGATACACTGGGAGTTCATGCAGTTCAAAATTCATTAGTAGTTTGTGAGATGTGTGGAGATAGTCATTCATATGATCAATGTCCATACAATTCCGAATCAGTCCAGTTCGTGGGGAATTTCAACAGGCAGCAAAATAACCCACACTCCAATACTTATAATCCTGGTTGGAGAAACCACCCCAACTTTTCATGGAGTAACAATGCAGGGCCTTCCAATCCAAAACCCATCATGCCTCCTGGTTTTCAACAACAAGCTAGACCACAAATTCCAGAAAAGAAGTCCCAATTGGAAGAACTCCTCTGGCAATATATATCCAAGACTGATGCCATAATTCAAAGTCAAGGAGCCTCCTTGAGAAATCTTGAAACCTAAATGGGACAGCTCGCCAATTCCATCAACAATAGACCTCAAGGTTCCTTACCTAGTGATACACAAGTCAATCCCAAAGGTAAGGAACATTGCAATGCAATTACCCTTAGGAGTGGAAAAGAAGTTGAAGGGGTGATTGAAAAACCAATTGAATCTTCAAAGGAGCATGTAAATGATGACAAGATAATTGTTGAAAAAGAAGTTGAAGTGGAAAAGAAAGAAGATGACAAGGCTGGAAATCAAGGAACTTCTCAAGTCACCCATCCTCCACCACTTTTCCCCAAAGGCTCCAAAAGCAAAAGATTGAAAAGCAATTTCAGAAGTTCCTCAATGTCTTCAAGAAATTACACATAAATATTCCTTTTGCTGAAGCTTTGGGAAACATGCCAAGTTATGTTAAATTCTTGAAAGACATCTTAACCAAGAAGAGGAAACTGGAAGATTTTGACACAAGGCACGGGTAGGATGGGTGGGGTTGGGCGGGGGGCGGGAGGGTGGGGCGGTCTTCATGTGAGAACAAACCGGTGCAGGTGGGCACGGGGCTCGGGGGAGCTGGGGGCGGGGCGGCAGGGGCGCGCAGCAGTGGCATGATCGCGGACGCGCGGGTGACGGGCGTTCAGAGGCGGCCAGGCCGGGGCGCGGGTGCGCTGCGTGTTAGGCGCGGGCGATCGCGGACGCGTTCGGGACGCGCGGGACGAGGCGAAATGCTGGCGCGGTGGGGGTTTTTGGGAGCACGGCAGCGCTGAACGGAGCGGGTAGGCGGTGTGCTGGGGGGAGTGGTAAAAGATGGGCCGGATGTTCGTTCTGGTGGGTGGATGGGGCCGCGTGGTGCGAGGGCGGGCGGAGACCTGAGCGGGCGGGGGCGGAACGCCGCGCGTGAGAGGGGGGGTTGGGCTGTTGGCGGACTGGCGAGCGGCCCGTGGTGCGGGGTTGGCAGGCCCGAAGATGGGGCGAATGCATCTCATAATAAGCATCCATACTCGGCCCGCGGAGTCCGCGGGGGAGCGGACGCGAGCGGAGTGCGCGCCGGAAGAGGGGGGGCCGAGGGGAGTGCGGGCGGAGTCGGGCCGATGGTAGGGGGCGGGGTCGACACGTGGCTCCCGGGCTGGGCGCATGTATCCATTTGCCTGACCTTGTAAGCACGCCATCCGGGGGCGGGGGCGGCGGACGCATTCTCGGGAGTACCGGCGCGTGGCGAATGCCAGCAGCGACGGACAATGGCGCTGGAATCGCGGGGCGGCATCTGGTGATAGTCGCAACGTTGGGGCCGCTCTCAGGCATACATGCCCAGCTGGCGCAGACGGGGCCTGAGAGGGGGCAGGTATCGGGGGGCGGGTGGAACGTACTAAAGGAGTGTAGCGCAATAATCACAAACAAGGCTTCCAACAAAATTTAAAGGATCCAAGGGAGTTTTTCGTATTCCTCTTGTACTATTGGCAGATTGTAAATTATACTAAGCTTGTATGTGGATTTGGCCGGCAGTGTTTCCAATCATCATTCAATTGCTGAGAAACTTGGACTTAACGAGAATACAAACTACCACAGTTTTCCTTTGCCAATAGCAGTAAAAACAATTAGAGTACCCTATGTTGGATTATTGAGGAATGTATTGGTTAAAGTTGAGGCATCTCTACATTCTAGTGGACTTTCATTGTGCTTGAGATGGAAGAGGATCTAGAAATTCCTTTTTTGGGACGCCCATTCTTGGCTACTGCAGGTTGCCAATCATTCGTATGTGGAGCGAAGCAAGAATAAATTATTAAAATTGGGAAAAGAAAGGTAGTTGAGTTTAAATATTTTCAATGCAAATAACAGTCCTTAGCTCTACAAATTATTTGCTATAGAGTGATGTTAATTGACTGAAGCCATAAGGTGAACATATTTCTCCACCTATTAATGTAGGCAGGCATCAACCTTTGAGTTTAAGCCCACCCACCTCCACCCGTGAGACCAAGCTGTCACCAAAGGAGCATTCGTCCACCAATATCTACATTGCCCTTTCGAGAATTGACAACAAGTAATGATGCATTCTCGATCATTACTTCAAGCATTTTCCATGGAAACCAAAGAAAAGATGGTGGGGTCCTTTTCAAAGTAGTAAAGAGTTCGAGGTTTATCTTCTTGTTGAAATAAAATATAATGCAGATATTGCGAATATTACGTGAGTGGATACGGCGCGACAAACTATTACAGTCAATTGAGTTTTAGCTTCAATGTGGTCTTGTATCTCTGGTGGTTTCATTAGACCTATTACTATTTGGAGGATGCCATGAAAATAGAAGGAACTGCAATAATACGGGGTGAGACAATAAGTAGGTCTAAAGCTAAAAGTGAGCCCATAGGTAAAGCATAGCACTTCGTATGAGGATGGCAACAGGCCAAGATATTTTTTTTCTATAGTTTAGTTTGTTATTTTGATAGTGTAAGGATTTTCTAGTATATTATCAATATGTAAAGAAGTAGTTGTCTAATCTCTCCCTAGCTTGTTTTGCGGTCAGCGTATGTGAGATGTTGTGAAAAAGCAATGAAAAGGAATGAGGTAGAAGAGAAGGATTAGAGCGCCTATATTCAAAGGCAGCGTGCACACACCATTGATAAGGAAAGTTTCATTTCGTTTTTCTATATTTTCTTAACTTTTTCAACCATTACTTGAGAGAGCGGGATCATAAAATGTACTTATAGCTTAGCCCAAATTTTAAAGTACTTGGTAGGGCAGAAATAGGTTTATATATAGTTATTTAGTATTCTTTCTTGTGTCGTTTAGTTAGCTATAGTGTCGTTAATGTTAGTCTCTGGGTTATTTTTTCAACTAATTTTAACTAGCGTTGGTGTTGACTTTCTTTGTTTCTATTTAAGCTCCTATATATATCACTAGATGTATTGATACAACCCAGTTCCGTGGATTGAATATTCTCAGTTTATATATACCTATCATTTGATTCTTCAAAACATGTGAATATTGTTTTGAGTCTAAGGTGTTATGTAAATTCTCATGCTAAGCTTGCATTATTGAAGCAGTTGTATAGTCAAATTAGTGCATTACATTTTGAGCAAACTATATCTTTTTCTCTAGATTTACCACTCTAATCAATATATTTAGAAAAAGCCGTTTAATCGCTGTAACATTGCATCAATATTAAGAGTGAATTATATTATGGTTATTTCTAATTGTGATGCCTACGAATTTATGTGTTGTATTTCCGTAGGGCTTCTCTTTCTTGACAAGAGAGGTCTGCGCGATAAATCCTATGAGGGCGCTATTACTTAAGATAGAAGGAGCTATGATTCCGAGTCAGGCCTTTTATGTTTTTGGAATATAGAAAAAACCTTTAGAACTTGCATTGAGCACTTCCATGTTGTTTAAGCCATGTCCTATTTAGCGCATAAATATCCTATCTCTAGTGTGTGACCCTCTACGTCAATCTTTGTGTGAGCAAGCCTAATGACATTCATCCCATCTTTTTCATATTGGAGTGGAATTTTTGGGCAGCTTTGAATCAACTTATAGATTTTGGTGGTTTAGTGCTTGGCGTCGAAGACCCCTACGTTGAGGTTCTATTATATTTGTCGAACAAAGATTTACTCTTGCCTTCACCTCAATCCTAAAGTATTGTTTGCAACCATAAAAGCGGCGATACAGAATTTAGAGGTGTTATGAATTGTTCGCAACATAGTCGTGACACGATCACCGGTAGCAGAGAGGATATATGAAAAAAAAAAACTACACAAGGACCGTTCTATATATATGGAAAGTGAACGTTTCAAAGATAATTTATTGATTGTCACTCATTCCATGGACTTGTAATGCCAACTAAATAAATAGAACTATAAGTTCTATGGACTAACAGAGTACATCATGGGTTGTTGAGTGTATATGGGAAAATTGAGAAAAAGTGAAAAAAGGTACTTCTAGAAATTATGTAGGGAATGACGTGAAGGATTGAGTACAAAAGGCGAAATGAATTTTGTTTTAGTGTTGGGAGGACCAGGGGAAACCTAATTTTCACACTCATTAAATTATAACCACAAAATCTTTTGCCAAGAATTACTAAAGTGATGATTTATAACTAAAGTGTGGATGCATAAGGTAAATAGATAAATGCTGACCAATTAAGCCATGGAGGAGAGAAATATGTCCGTATTATCTCAAGTCATAACTTTCTACTCGACTATAAGACCTAGGCTTAGGCGTGATTCATGAAACAATATTGACGCCACACATGGTTTGTCCACCAATTTATATGTAGATCAAAGCCCTTAGGTCCCAAACACCATATTCTCTCTATATCCAATCCCTGCTTAACCTCCTACAAGTACCCTATAACCATTTTATGCTATTACAAGCAAATTATAAAGTACTCTGGCCTAAATCAATTAGAATCTTTAACATGGATGTATGTTAGTTGGGCTTCGATACGTTATTATGCTGAGAGATAAGAGGAGACTTGGTTAAAGGGCATATGTTAGGATAGTATGAAAAGCTCAAACTTATGGAGGTTAATTACTATTTGAATTTGCATGAATGTAAATTTATCTAGATTGTACAATATTCTAAGTGAAGAGATTACAACACACAACACGGAATTTAACTTAATGATGAGTTGCATTTGAATTGAGACATGAACTTGAATTAATATCTATGTGTTGCCTAGAGTTATGAATATGGATTAACTATTGAGGATATTAAAGGTAATTAGGAAATGGTGCCAATTGAAGTCTAGTTAAATGTTTTCATGTTTACGTTATTGCATGTTGTTTTTGCGTTTTGCTCGAGGACTAGCAAATCTTAAGTTTGGGGGTGTGATAACTCTATTATTATAGAGTTATTTGACTTATTTTGGAGCTTAAGTAGCTAGATCTTTTGAGATTTTAGGTTCAAAATTTAGCATTTTAGGTGTTTTTTTTAGTTTAAGTTTGATTTTGTTAAGTGATTAATTTAAGTATTTTTAGTTAATTTTAAGTTATTTTTTTTAAATTACTTTAAGAGTAGTTATTGCTAACTCTTAGTGTCTTTTTGTAGGAAATAATGAAAAAGACTCATTTGATGAAAATCAGGTGCAGAGGATGGTGATAGCTTCATTCTGATGATAGTTTTCGTAGAGATATATTATTGACTACATATCTCATTCGTCTATATCAAAACTCCGATTAAATGAGTTGTGAGTGTCTTATACCAACGTTTGTATATCGAATTCTATAAAAAAGATATGGATACAACTGTTAAATTGTTCATCCTATTTAGACCCAGTATAGTGTAACTTGTACTCAATAGAGGCCAAATGGTCTTAAATATTGTCAATAAGTCGGACCACTAGGTCGCAAGCAGTATGTAAGAGGAACGCTGAACATCATGACTGCAAAACTGAAGCCAGATGGTATTCGGTAGAAGGCATCAATCTTTCGAGGAGCTCCAGAAAGTGTGCGGCACATTTGTAGTGCTGATAGAACTACTTTGTGGAGTTGGATTATGTTGTGAGTATCTTTTAATCAATGATCAACTTGGTAAGAATTGTGAGAACTTGCACTTGTGACAGTTAGTCTGCCTAACTAAAACATAAGTGCCAAAAATACATAGTTCATGAAGTGACAAACATGACAAGCAACTAGACATTAGATTGGGCATTTTATCTGAGACAATGATTCAATTCAAGGGCTATGGCTTTAAAAAATATATAAGTCAAACACTCAAAACAAATTGCTAAGATATCTTTACAAAGAGGAGAGTGACACTTTACAGAGCCGAATGGCCGCAATTTCTCATACTTTATAAAGTAAACAGAGCCATGGTTATTAATACAACACCGCACATCTATGGGAAAGCAATCGACAAAATGAAGTGGAAAAAATGGAGGTAGAAAGTATGAAAATATATTTGGGCATCACAAGGATACATTATGCCCAAAAAAACCTAAAGTTGAAGTAAGATTGAAGAAATGAAGCTATCTAATCTTTTCATGCTACTGAGAGATTGCATGCCAAAAGTTTTATACAAGCATGTGTTCGATCTCATGTGCTTTAAATTCAATTTAACAATTTCAACTAACTTGAAAGTTTGGATTTTTTCGTTATATCCTTATAGTTTAGGATTATTTCTCTTTATGTTACCTCCCAATAAACTCATATCCTTTATTACAGTTAGTTACATGGATCACGTATATAATGTTTGTTTGACCTGTTCTTATCAACTTTTGATCTCTTTAAAGTAAAAGCCAAGCCAAACAAAAAATTTAAAAACTTAAGAATAAAAAATTTTTTAAAAAAGAAGCATTGCAAAAAAAGCTCCTATGAGGAGCTGTTTTCTTCTTGTTATTATTATTTTGATTTAGAATAAACTATAGAAAAATTTCAATCAAAAATATTTTTATTCAAAAAGTCGACTATTCAAATATGTTAAAAAATAATACAATATACCTTTTTAAAAAAATCCTTTTATGATAAATTTTAATTCGAAAATTATAACCTTATAATAAAGAACTATAAAAAAAATTTAGTTAAACAACTTTCAACTAACCTAAAAGCTTATTATTTATCAATAGCATAAAGACTCAATAATAGCTCTATACAGTTTAAAGAAACAATAGCACGTCAAAATAAATGGACTCATAATCCCGGACCGAATTAACCGAGTTCTTACTGCAACAATTAAATTCTCTTAGACTTTTACAACTTCTCCAAAATTTACAAAAACTGTCATAATGTTAAAGTAGACGAATACCTAAATTCAAATTTTAACTAGACTTTTGATAGGAAAAAGAAAAGAACATCTCCTCCAACTTAAACACATCAAACAAATCAAAAGAACATTCCAGCCAAACAATCTTTTTTGGATCAAAACATGCGAAGCTGAATATAAAACATATATACACACTAAAATTAAAAATTGTTTGAGATCTTCCATCCACAACAAATCTTTTTGGTATAGATGTTTTGTACAAGACCCAACTGTTATCGACAATGAACCAATTTCATAGTGGGCTTTCAATTAGTAATGATACTGTAAGTGAACTCTTTAGTAGTAGGCTTCAATCAAATTTCTCATAGAATCAATGACACCTAATATTTTAATAGTACCTAAATACGGTAATCACATTGATTCTAATTAAATATTTCGACAATTTCCCTTAAAATAAAAAAACCGTGGCAAAGGCGGGCTAAATATCCACCTGCAATAATGGTGGATAGAAATAAAAGATAAACAAGATAAGTGAATTTAGCCGCATGGAAACTCCAATGAACTTCTAATTTGTTTTATATGGTGATACTTGGACTAGTGTCCTTATCTCAAAGTACGGACCTTTGACTTTTCACTCAGCGGGATCAAAGAATAGCCCATGAGGCCTCAAATAGACAAGGCATACCTCGAGTCATAACCTAATTGATACTAAGAAAATCTGGAATAACCAAACCAGGGCTTCTAACGACTTCCAATGAGCATTGTTTTGCCTAAACTTGTAAGTACGGTGGACAAAAGAAGCTCGGACCATAACAGTTTGGCCCAGAATGTATAAAAAAAATATATCTTTCTAGAAAAAAACATTATACAACGACTTTAAGTCGTATAAGCAAACCCTCCTCCACCTGAAAAGAATAGAAGCTCCTAAAGAAGCCCATATATCTTGTCATAAGAATGGATATAGAATATAAAGAAAGCTCTTAAAAAAATAAAAAACAATTTTTTTCTACATACAAGAAATTAAAAAAAAATGAAGAAAAGTTATAGAGAGAAGTTTATTCTTATCTTTCAAAATAAATACGTCAAACTTATTCAAGAAAAAAGCCGCTATCTCTCATTCAATCCCCCTTTACAAATACACCGTCACAATCATGCAAATCTATGATTCCCATTTCTCTATTTTATTTACAAAGACTAATTAAAAAAAAACATAAAAGATTATCTAGTCGAATACAATAGTAAATCTGAAAATTTTTTATTAATACAAAAATTAAGAGAGAAAAAAAAAACCAAAAAAGATTAACTCAAGAGTAGACATTCATGGGTACTATATAATGTCAAATACCATTTTGTTTCTCTTTTCTTTTCTTAAGAAATTGAAGTATTCATTGACTCGATTACTTATTAAATAAAAAACTTATAATATCCTATTACTATTGTAAAAGTTTGAGACATTTTTTTCATTTTGTCATGAATTTTTTATTTTAACATTTGAAATCAATCTATTAAACTTGAAGCAGATGATTCTGTTTTAATTTATTAGGTAGTTAAGATCATGACATAAATACCCTTTTATCGATTTAAACTAAATATTAGAGTTTATATAATTTAAATTTTAACAAAATAACTGACCAAATAGTTTAACTTAATTAAAAATTTTTCATTTTCATAAGTGTTCATAATAATTTTCTAAAAGTTAAATAAAAAAGCTAAAAACTAAACCGCCTTGAATACTTCAAAATAGCCCTTATGAAGCTATACTAACAAAAAGAGAGAGTAATGCAAACCTTCTTATACTTTTTTTACATTTAAACATTAAATTTTTAAATTTAGTTTTGAATCAAATTAATCCTCTTTGAAATAACTGCATCGATCAACAAGTACAATTCACAACTTTATTCACATCATCTATCACCTATCATCGTTAATAAAACTTGCCATTATAAAATTCAAATGTATTGTATATTGTCACCCCAGCTCATTTGTCAAAAAAAAATTAATTAGATGAGAAATTTGAAAAAAAAAAAATATCAAATTAAGTTCTTCAATATCAGGCTTCCTCAAACTTTGATATTTAGGGTTTTTGTCTTAAAAAATTTAATAAATTATCAAAGACAAAAAAAACCAATCGCTAGCTTTCCTTATACCATTTGATTCATTGAAAACAAAATTTTATTATAATTCTCAAATAAATCTAATTCTCAATTCTATATTAATTGGTTCTAAAACACTTCTTGTGAAAAACCCTAAATACTAAATAATTAGTTCCAAACAGATGAGATTCACCATTGAAAAACAAAAACAAACAAATGGCAAAAAAAATTATCTTAGATATCCAATGAAAAATTGCCCTATATTCTCTACAAAAATATTGGAAATCAATTACTAAAGTGAGTATAAGTTTCTTCATTCAAACACAAGAGCTTCTAAAATCAAGAAGAAGGAAGCCTCTCTCTTCTTGATAAGGTTACTTGACAAAGACACAGAGATCAGGTTCAATACAAGTGAAGCAACCAAGAAAACAAGATCATGGACATAGCCATGTTTAATCTAGGCAACCCAGCGGCCGGCCAAGCACCCACAATGCGGACGTTGTCTTGAGTACCAGATAAAGGAAATATTCGTCGAGCAAATCAAAAACCCGGTTAGGCTTGCTACTTGGTGTAATAACCTGCCCAGTTATTTGTTATTCTGTACTAGTGTATTTTATTTGGGCTTTTAGCTTACCGCTCCAACAATTGAACTGTAAACGCTTGTAATTGCAAGCAATCAGACGAATTTTACTACATAAGTTTTCGGATTTTTGAAGAAAAAAATATATACGAAATAAATTCAGAATTTTAATTAAAATAATAATAAGCATAAACAAATTTTAATTAATTTTTTACTTAATATAAATTCAGATAAACGTGAAGAACATATACAACCAATTTAATTTCTGACTAATACTAACTATGGGATTTCGTAGACGTCTGAACAGCACCACCAAAAGACGAATATAAGTACAGTGGACTTTGACACACAAGTTTAAGTTACTGAGGAAAAGTGCGAAAAGAAGAATAGGCTGCAAGTTCCAATTACAACAATAGTACTGGCATAGAACTGAACAATCCCTGAATGATCGATATAGCAAAAAGTTACAAAAATACTGTCAAATCAATGGATAAAAATTAACAAAAATACAGCCCGAACAGCAGCACAATGTAACAAATAAAAAAGTGATTAGTACTAGAACACCGCATCAAATTAAAGCTCTCTAAACAATGTAAAGCAGGACATGGATAAAACTTTTATGTTTACCACTTTACCCAGTTCCTAACATATCAGGGTGAAACTCACGTTTGAAGTGATAGACTGCCACAGTACTGGGAGAACAAAGCTGCAGCGTTGACGAAAGGAAACACACATACAAAATTCCGAGAGCTCAGCGCTGCAGCGCTGAAGATGTAGCGCCGCCGCGCTGTGCGACTTTCCTAAAAATAAGGGAAGTTAACAGGATTTCGAAAATTAGGTTATTTGGAGCCTATTTAAGGAGCCTTTTTCAGAGATTTTGGAGAAGAGGCAGCAAGCAACTATTCTGGAGATTTGGAGTCAAAAACAAAGAAGGAAACAGAGAATTGGAGAGAGAATCAAGATCACAAATCTCTAACATTTAGTTTTCTCTCTTACCTTTGTGTTTTTCTTATTTTCTTTGACTTGGATTCATGGCTAAATTTCTTTGGATATTGTTTTTATTAGATACTATGAACTAAATTAT